CACGAAAAATGGCCGGCGGTTCTTTCATGAATTAACCGACCACATGTGGGCTGTAATGGTAGGCTTTGAACTTCACTGACTTTCCTCGTAGACCGTCGCCCCCCTGACACCGATCGCAGTTAAGGAGAGTCCAGCATACAATTCCTGTGATGATTCTATAAATGACGGTATTATGCGACATGCTCTCTCAAAATTATGTGAACGCTTTCAGGTAGGCCTGCCTTCACTTCATAACACTGATTTATTAGCTGTTGCATGGGCCCGTGTCAACAGCAACTGATGAAATGGCGCTCGCCACTGTGAAGGCCAACCTTGCGACCTTTTTTAAAACAGTATGGGCTTTTTGTCATACAATATGTGCACTTCCTAGGAGTTGGCGACGCTCGACTTGATGCGCTATGATCTCATGGATTGGTTTGATGGCATCTGCAATTTTCATATCGATGCTGATACTTTTGCCAATATGGAGAAGCTACTGCAACAAATTACCTACTCCTGCAATTCTGTTAAACAGACGGCGCTGCTCTTCGATGCCAAACTTGCCTGGTATGTTTCCATGCTTACCCTTTGTCCACCTCCACTACCACCGTTAGTTTATTTGTTAGTTTGAGAATGTTAAATTTATGCGTTAGGCATGCCTTTCTGCCAAAAATTGTATTAGTAAGCATTCAGTGGCGTATATTTGACAAAATGATACGTTTCAGTAACACATCAGGTAAACATGGTAGAGCATTCTATAATCGAACCTTAATCAGGATTGATAGGATTACTGATTGGCCGCCCCTCCAGCGGACGAGATATCGATTATGGGTTTTGGGGGGCGGGGCAAAGGCCTCATTTTGAACTTATCAAAAATGTGCGCTCAAAGTACCCCAAACATCGGCCAAAAATGAGGAAATAATTTTTCACAAAACACTAAACAATGGAGAAATATGTTTGACTGCGGTAAATGGGCGCTTACCGATCAAGTCAACAAACGTGCTCATCTCGTTGTACCCTGGGGTTCAGTCTAGAACAGTTCGAGCCTGTCAGTTAACTGTTGCTGGAATGGACGCAGCTACTGGCTATCTCATCTGCGTGCACCGCGCACACAACCTGCCCCCTCCCCCCAAACACAAGCCTCAGGAGTTCACACTGAAAGAATTGAGCAGTTTACTTTCACATGCGTTAAAAGGGGTCGTTGAAAATTGACTCTTAGACCACAAGACAGGCACTGCATGCTGTCCGTACCACAGTATTTCATCCGATCGGAGGACGCGAACGGAGCTGCAGATGAGATCAATACGCATTTTGCTCATATTGAGAGTAATAATATGACTACGCTGAATGATTACTATGCCTTTAAACAGAGTAAGTCCCAGTTTTCGTCAGGAACCGTGCTATACTCCTTATATAGCATTTTCTTAGCTACATTCTTTGAAGATACGTAAATGACAAGGAACCTTAAAACTGCCTCAGCGCATTCCAG